TGGGGTGCCATCCATCTGTGGCCCAGATGTGAGACACTGACCATACTGGGAGGAATACGGCAATGTGGCAGCAGAGCCACAAAGGATGACCCGAGAGAATGAGTGGTCAGGACAAGCATGTTTGCTGGAAAAGCAGCAAAGAGCTGTGTGTGTAGTGAGGCTGGCATGTCTTGGTGAGTCCTCTGGGGAGCTCCAATGCTCACGGGGCCGTTTGGGGTGTGGCATCAATACTGTAGGGCAAGTGGTGAGGCCAGACTTCCAGAGGCCACCTGCCCCCCCACCCCCATATATTGGTTTGGTAAGAGCAGCCCTAGGAGAAAGCTCTGGAAGGCCCCCTAGCCCTCAGGGCTCAGCAGAGTTCTCTGGGCCCGCTCCATCTGTTTGCCCGAGGGAAAAACTGATTTAAGCTCCATTGAGCTAGTGAAGTGGGAAGAAAATTAAGAATCCCAGGAATACACCTGACGTTTCTATTAACAAGGAATAACCTTCATCTGTCCAGCTCTGGGCTGATAGCTCGCAGTCTTCTGAATAGCAGGAACACCCTTCCTCACTCACACCTGCCAGGTCTGTCCCTTCATAGGAAGCCTGTTTGACACCAGCTTCCCTGTGTGGTGCCCTTCCTGCCAGTGGGTAGAGCTGTGATGCTGAAAATAACTCAGTGCTGGGCCATGACATGACACCTGCCATGTGCACTGCCCTCTGCGCCTGGGTTTCGGTGGCTCTCGAAGGGGACTGGTGGATGTGCAGTTCTGAGGTCCCTCGAGAGGGGTGGCTCAACCAGTGCCCTTAGCTGAGTTGGCAGAGGGGTGAACGAGGCCCCAGAAGAAGCCTGTGCTGCAGGCAGGGCAGGTGTCACAGTGCTGACGAAACCGACCTCGTGTTTGAGTCTGAAATAGGGGCCGTTTCAGCCATTTTCAGGACTCCAGAAAGAGGTGGAAGGAGAGCTGCCAGATGAACCTGGGATGGGCTATAGGGAAGATGGAACAAACCTGGTCCAGGGTCATAAGAAACCGTGACAGCAGCCTGTGGGGTCCCTGTGAGGAGAGTGTGGGGGACATACAAACATATGCTGGTCAGAGGCTGGGCAGGTGATGCTGTGTGTGGACGTCATGTACCTGCAGCCCTGTTAGCTTGTCCAGGCTGGTGGCAGAGTCTTATTGGGCAGGCGTGGGATGTGTGCATAGTGTGGGGACTTGTAGGAAAGGGCTGATGTTAAATGTCACCAGACCTGGAGTGGGGGTGGTGTAGGGAGCAGAGAGAGAACGAATGACTTTAAAAAGATGCCCCTTATCCATTCTCCTGCTGACCCCGGAGGGCCTTGGAGGGCCACTTTGGGTCAGTTCCTTGTTGGGCGTCGGACATACATACTTCATCTCCGGCAATGTACAGGCCTGCTTGTGACCACAGGCGCTGAAGCCAGAGACCCTGGGCCCCAGTCTCAGCCAGACGTGCCAGCCGTGGGGCCATAGATAGCTCTCTTTGTCTCAGTTTCTTCGTTTGTGAAACAGGCCTTCAATGGTGAAGCACCAGTGAGGAGATGTGTGCCGTGCTGGCACTGGGTAAATGCTTGGTGGCCCGGAGCTCTTGCTGATGTGATGGCTGCCGCTGCTGTCGCCGTGCCTGGGGAGTTAGGAGTTGGCTGTGGGAAAGGGCCAAATGGGCTTTTCCACGAAACACAGGACTGGAACCCTGGCTTCCAGGTGGCAAGTGGGTCTGATGCATTTGCAGAGGCCCCGGTGTCCTTCCGATTCCCGGGTATCTGAAACAAAGCACAGTGGCCCCAGATGGCAGCTGCTTGCTTGAGATGTAGGTCTGCCAGGTCCCGGGACACCCCTGGCAGAGCTGGTGGGGCTGGGCCCTGCGTGGTTGGCCTGACGGACAGCGACCCCAGCCTTTGCCCTCGTCACCAGCATCTGGGCAGCTCATCGCTTACGGCTCCAACACATGACAGATGTTTTCTGGGCTGAAACCTGAGCTGGGCCCGCTCGTCTGCTCTCACAGATCCCTTCCCTGGTGTGCATATTCCTTTTGCATTAGGAAACTGTCACCTCGGCTCCCCATGGTGACATCCGCTCAAGGCTGAGCGTGCCGGGCCCTTTTAAACTTTGCCCAGATGTCTTGCTTTTCGTGGTTACCTCTCATTTCCACAGCACTTCTTAGAACTTTCAGATTTTCTCTTAAAGCCTTGCCATAACAGCCGTCCTCTAATTCGTGTCCAAAATGCCGTGCCAAATTAAATGATTAGCAGGAACAAAAGGACGGAAACTAAGATGTTTGGCAGGGGTGGTAGGTGGGGGTGGGGGGAGGCTGGGCGATCTTTTCAGGAGGAGGAAGGAGACTGGGGAAAGTCACCGGGAGTCTGGAGGCCCAAGGAGAGGGAGGCCCTTTCCTCCCACCCAGAACGATGGGTTTTCCATCTCCCTTTCTCTCTGTTGTCCGATCTTGGGCATTGTCCTTCATGTTGGCTGTGTATGTGCATGGTCGCTCACTGAGCTGTGAGTAGGCCCTGTGGTCACTCATTTGCAGGTGGAAACCAGGCACCGTGATACATGGGGACACACCGCAGGGTCTGTGTGGTGGATACAAGGAGGACTGTCCCTGCAGGCACGTGGCGTGTGGGAGGCAGACATGCTCACTATCTAGTCCTGGACTCAGGCATTGTGGGGATGAAGTCCGCCCAGCAGGCTGCCAAGGGCAGTTTCTGCTTCTCTCATTCTCGGAGTGAGGTGACCAGCTGGCTCTTCCTTGCCTCACCAGCTTTTGCCACTCTACTATGTGCCGGGTGAGGTCTTGGTGGTGAGGATAGGCTCAAATCCCCTCTGGGCTTGGACGGTTGGCCAGGGTGGCATGGGAGACAGTGGGGAGGGTCGTTGGGCCTGCTGGGCCATGGAATGCCCTGCAGAGGACATATGCTGGAGAAGGTGGTGAGTCTCATGACAGTTCCACCAAGCAAGGCCACCACTCCCGGCTTCAACCAGGGCAGGGAGGAGACCTCACGATGATGGCCCCTAGGGACAGGCTACACGTCTGCTGCTGTTGCTGTGAGTGCTATGACACTGTGGAGCGGACCTGGGCTTAATTTTAATTTCTCTGGACAAAAAAAATTAGCCATCTCATGGAAACACTGAAAATACTGTTATAAGCAGATAATATTTATTGAGCCCTTACTGTGAGTCATGCCTGTAATAAGTGCTTTGTAAGTGCTAAATTGTTCCCACTGGTATGCCCATGTATATGACACATGGGGAAACCGAGGCATGAGGCGGTAAAGGAATGTACCTGAGGTGGGCACTGAGCATGCAGTGTTGGACAGCCCTGGTAAGGGTGTGGATGCCTATGCTGCGTGGACAGGCTGCCATGCCAATTGTGTTGGAAGACACAGTAGTGCAAGCTGGGATGGGCAGCCTATGCAGCATGGGGCACGAGTGGCAGTGGGGGTGCTGGGCATGTGCAGAGCTAAGGAGTTACCTGGTTACAGCTCGAGTCGTGGAAGGCTGTGAGCTGGCCACTGAGCCTAGGGTTAGGATGCGCCTCCCACGGGCGAGGGGAAGGTGCCATGTGGTGTGATTCAGGTGACATGAGTGGAATCGATATGCATGGAGACAGATAGGTGTGTGCCTGCTCCAGACTCCACAGTGAGGCTACTCAGAGCTCGGACTCTGGAACCAGCTTTCTGGATTGACATCCCACATGTGTCTGGCCTGGGCAAGGCCCTGAACCTTTGTGTGCCTCTAAAAATGATAACAGTACTTCCTCCCAGAGTGGTAGGAGGCCCAAGTGAGTCGATAATGCAGGGGGCTTAGACCAGTGCCTGCGTGTGTTGAACCATCAGCACACGTAGGCCGTCAGCATTGTTACAGGGATGTGGGTGCTTAAATGATCAAGTTTAGGCATACCGGTGGTTAGTATGACACGTGAAGTAGCAAGGGTCACAGAGGATCATGCTCACCTCTTGATGGTACTGGCTTCTTGGAGCTGAGGGGAGAATGATGAGACCGAGTCTGGATGCAGCTGAAAAGTGGCTGTGGGCAGGGCCAGCCATGCGTGCGGGATGGGGCTGTGGGGTCTGTGCCATGAGGTGACTTCCCAGGCTTCCGTGAAGGACACATGGTCTTGAGAGAAAAGTAGAGAGATGGAAAGACCATCCTTGAGCCGTAAAAGGTTGCAGTACGGAAGGCCGCGGCAGCTTTCCCCATCTCCTGGGGCTGGGGGAGGGCAAAGGAGGAAACTGGTTTCGGAGGGACACTTAGAACTTGTGACAGACACAGGGCCTTTCTGACAGGGAGTTTGCTGGGCATGAGAACGGTCTAGGGAAGGTGGTCAAGTCCACTTTTTCAAGACAGTCTGTCCTCTCTGTGGACCTTTCTGAGACCTTTGACTGAAAGGGTTCATGGAGAATTAGAACGATACAGAGGAGCTGGGCTATCTGAGCCTCCCTCTGAGTCAGAGGTGGCGCTTTAAACCATGGGGCATAGCAGTGCTGTAATGCGGGCCTGCGTGGTGCTGGGGGAGGCTGCGTGTCCCTGCAGCCCTCTGTCTTGCCTTGAGCTTCCCCTTCACCCGGGCTCTGACACGCCCCCAGTGATGTCCCTGATATCACTGTTTCGACCCTGGTGTTTGGCTCCTGCATTGGGCTTTGCAGTGCTAGGTCTGTGCGCTCTGGTCACTGGCCAGTGTGGGGGACGGCCGGGGTGGGGGATGGCCAGCTCATGTTAGAGCGTGACATTCTATTGGCCTTGATAAACCACGAACCTTTTCCCTGAGTTGAAGCTTGCTCAGTCCCCTTAAATTAATAGCTTCAATTTCTGTGGCTACTATGAGAAAACTATCAG